TTTAGGGTTATGTTAAATCGTGCTTCTGTCAGCGCGCTGTTGTGGGTGCGCTGTTGTGGGCGCGCTTTTGACATCACGGTTTTAGCGCCGCGGTGTTGTCGGCACGCTTTTGACATTTGTGGTTATGTCGTGCCACGGTAGAAAACACATGTGTTAGATATTTGCAAAATATTTCAAGGAAAAATGTTGTGAGCTTGGACTATCCTGTTTCAACCTGTTTTTATCTCATCAAATCTACTTCAAACTTCAAAGCAGGTCTTCTGCCTTCAAAACTATTTGAAATTTCCTTCTCATTAAGGTCAGAACTGAATATTTAAGGATTATGATAGTCTATCTTAAAATGTTTTTAAATATAAATCCTAAAATAGGCATATATCCAGCTCCTTCCTACATTGTATTCTTGAGCACACAATGGCATTATATACTTTATGATTCAGCCAAAACAAAATTGTCAATTTAGCCCTAGTCTACCAAAGATGGCCCATGGCTGGTCTAGAATCATGTTAGCTTAAAAAAAAACACAATACTGCCCTTACTCAACACATAATTTTGCTAGAATGCTATTATTGTTCTAGTTTCTTTTTTCTGTTGAATTCAGTTCTATTTTTACTAAATCAGAATACATACATACATACATACATACATACATACATACATACATACATACATACATAAATTTTCTTTCCCTAATTCTTTTAGGATAACAAATAGAGAAAGTTTGTGTATAAACAAGATGAAATATCAGATGAATGTCTCATTGGATTGTTGTGAGACGATAGCAAATAAATAAACATTTTAGCAAGAATAAAATGTGTCAGGCATATTTTTAAGACTACATTTAATTACTACATTATTATTTTTAATATACTACTTTAAAAAACTAGAACTATCACACACTTACTGAAAACCTAGGTAATCCAAGGTAGAAATAAATGAAATGCTGTAAATATACATGAAGTAAAAAGTATTACTTTAACAATTAGATTAATAAGGAGACTCCTTTCCTAATATTCTTGTGTTTGGACAATGTGAACATTGCCTGTAGGAGGCATCATTTTGAGGTAAACAGATTTATTTTGTCACTCTGGACAAAATAATTTTGAAACTATTTAAATTAATACTTTAGAATATGCCCCCTGATATTTTAAAATATGCCCCCTAATTCATCAAAATGCCTTGCATTCCTTACTGAAATAAATAAATAAATGTGTTGTTATCTGTTATCAAAACATCACCCCAGAATTTTGTCACTATGCGTTACTGAATTATTTCTTCCCCTTGAAATTGGGAACTCAGCATAGCTTACATGAAGTTTTCAGACAGATCTTTCACTTTGAAACTTTAAAAAATCATTATTATTTAAATTTTGTAATATTTTCCCCTCTTTTTTCTCCTCCTTTTCAATCCATCCTTCCTTCAGCTAGTTCATGGTGGTTCCCCATCTCAATTTTCTTTTCATCAGAATTTTGTAAATTAGGCCAGGCTAGACTGAGAAATGGAAACTGGTTGCAAGGCTTCTCGTGAATGACTGGATAGATTAGAGATTTAAACGAAAGTCTTAGCCAATTCTATCAAACTGGACCCTTTGTATTTTCCATTTCGTAATCTAGGATATTACAACCGAACAGAATAATAGAATCACAAGGGATGTTGGAAGTCTTCTAGTCCAACCCCCTGCTCAAGCAGGAGACCCTATATCATTTCAGACAAATGGCTGTCCAATCTCTTAATATCTTTAAACTTTAACATCTTTAATTAGAATCCAGAGTTATTGTGGATATAAATTATGCTGGATTCTGGCTACTGGTGATGGTTATCCCTAATCTGGACTGTGCTTAATTTCTAGAACAATAGTAATACCGACCCTCAGGTTACCTGGAAATGTGTTGTTCTGGTAAATGTCTAATTAATCATTGATGCACAGGTATCCATAATGATGGAAATGGGCTATGTAGTTGTTCAAACCACTTTAAAATCATTCTTCATAATGTCTTTCTTCAATTTAGTGCCCTCTATATGTGTTCTGACAGCCGTAGAAGACTACATAGTTAGGGAGTAATCAGGGCAGTAGAACACCTCGATTGGAGAATGCTTGGGGAAAGATATTTTATATATCCAGGACTAAGTCCACCTTCTAAAGCTTTGGCATAAAAGTAACGCTGTAGCATTTTCCAAGTACCATTGTATTGTACATTTCTTCTCCAGATGCAAGGGAATGTACGGCATGTCCCGAAGATCATTGGTCCAATCAGCAGAGAAGCAAATGTAATCATAAGGAAGTGGAATTCTTGGCTTATGGAGAAGCTTTAGGAATGACATTGATTGCCCTCTCTGTATTTGGCGCATGTGTCATTCTGTCTGTGACTGGAGTCTACGTCAAGTTCAGGAAAACACCTCTGGTGAAAGCCAATGACCGTGAGCTCAGCTTCCTCATCCAGTTTTCTCTCGTGGCAACCTTGTTGACTTCTGTTCTGTTCGTGGGGAAGCCAGAAGATTGGTCATGCCAATCTCGCCAAGTGTCCTTGGCCTTAGCTTTTTCTGTTTGCCTGTCTTGTGTTTTAGGCAAGACAGTGATGCTCTTTCTGACTCATTTGGCCAGAAATTCAAAAGTGGCTGAGAAAGCCCGGATGTCAGTTGGGCCAATTTTCCAAAAAGTGGTGGTAGTTGTCTCTGTTCTAGCTGAAGTGGGTATCTGTACGACTTACCTTTATTATAGCCCTCCCAGTATGTATAAAAACACCCAGTTCACAACCCTGAGAATTATTTATGAATGCAATGAGGGTTCCATAATGTACTTGTGCATTATGTTTGGGTTTGATGTGTTTCTCGCCATCCAGTGCTTTCTTACGGCTTTTGTGGCCCGGAAGCTTCCCAATAATTTCAACGAAGCCAAGTTTGTTACATTTGGAATGCTGGTTTTCTTCATTGTCTGGATATCTTTTGTTCCTGCTTATTTAAGCACAAGAGGAAAATTCAAGGTAGCTGTGGAGATATTTGCAATTCTGGCCTCCAGCTTTGGTTTGCTAGGATGCATATTTGTGCCCAAATGTTATATTATTTTGTTGAAGCCTGCCAGAAATACAGAAGAAATTGTGGGTGGCAGGGCTATGACCAATGACAAGAGTGCTCCACCAACTTCTGCCTCTTGCGCCAGTGAAATTAACACAGTTTCCACAGTTCTTGAGGATTAGGACTTTGTAGCTCCTGCCAGCCCATATCACCTGGTCCATGTCAAAGTGGATTCTTGGGGAATAGAATACATAAGGCATATTTAATTGCTTGCAGAGGAAGTAATGTGGAACTCTTTTTAAGAAAAAAATTGTATTTTCATTCATATTTAGCCAGGATCAAATTCTATGCAACTTCTAATTTCTGCTTGCACAACTGAGCCTGATTTTTTTTCCATTCCATTCCAGCTCCACAATTTTTGATGTAGGGCTCTTTGGGGTGGTAGTGACAGAAGGGGAAGCGGAAAGAGAAAAACAAGGAATAATTTTTGTGAATTGAAGTTCACACAGTTTTCTTTTTTGTAAAAAAATGATTTTATTAAACTTATCAAAGTATAAAATATAAATTCTAAGTTTGATAGAATACAGCAATACATATGATGCTTTCAGCTTAACATACTACAGTTCAGTGGCTTGTCCTTGTAAAAAGTAATCAATTCAACATAATATCAACTAATTGTATGAAACAAATATTTTCCAATAAAATCTAATTATTTACAGATGTTTCATATTGTATTTTATGCTAATCTTAGTCTGTGCACCAAGACAATCAGTTCCATATTATCACCCTGTTTGCATTTTCAAATTTCTCAAAAGTTGCTTGAAGATGATTTGTAGGCATTTTCAATGCCATCTGCTTTAGAATGATGAGCAACTATCATTCCCTTCAGTTGACTGGAGAATGCAAACCACAGTGTGTTGTTAATAGCACTAGCACTAGCACTTAGACTTACATACTGCTTTACAGTGCTTCTACAGTCCTCTGTAAGCAATTTACAGAGTCAGCATATTGCCCCCAACAGTCTGGGTCCTCATTTTACCGACCTCAGAAGGATGGAAGGCTGAGTCAACATTGAGTCTGGTGAGATTTGATCTGCCAAATTGCAGTCAGCCAGCAGTCAGCAGAAGTAGCCTGCAGTACTGCACTCTAACCAGTGCGTCATCATGGCTCAATAATGCCTTTATTTCATAATTTTCATAATGATTTGCCAAAATTTTTGGCCATCTGATGGGAGAGCTATCAAGACACTATCCCTCCTTTTGTTAAACAGATAATAGAACAATATGTATTGATGCCTTAATGTCTGTGGACAGGGAGAAGAGACCTGGCTGAACAAAAAACAGGGAAGGGGGAGACATTTGAATTCCTATCTAATGAAAAACTAATTTGTATGCAAGCTCTCTGGTTCAGTGTTGCCAAAATACCATTTGAGATGCAGTACAGCTAAACCAGAAATTGATCAGCTCTACTAATGAACAGACATAATGGTACGGGACATTATAAAGGTGGCACTGATTCAGAGAAGCATAAATATGTCAAATGGAAGAACCCTCTTCAGTGAATAATCCTCTTCCTTTCTGGATATAGATTTCCAGTATTCCAGAAGAATGGTTTCTTTGCTAAACTCTCTTACAATTAAAATGCGTTTTTATATATACATAATGTGAGAGTACTGTGTGAGAATGAGATAGATTGTTTTAGATTTTGGGTACCAAATCTTTCCATCAACCAAATACAAACTTATGCAGGATTTGTCAGGTTGTATCCATTGCAAAAACTTCTTTGTTGGGATATGTGTTGTGATCTGCCGGTGGCCGGCGGGACTGGCAGCAGAGTCAGACACTGAGGAGGTCAGGGAGGAACCTATAATTTTAAAACCAGAGTAGCAAAAAATGACTTAAGTCTGCCTCCTATAGAAGCTCAGAAATGAATGAAGGCACCATCACAAAAACAGGGCACCAACTATTGCTATGGCATGCATCTGCTGCAATTATGAGAAAAGGCTGCTGGTCTCCTTGTTAATTTCCTGGCAATGATACAAGCCAGGCTCAAGGGAGACTTTACCTTACCTTACCTTAACTCGTGAAATAGGTGTTTCCTTCACAGAGCAGAAGGATAGATGATTTCTTAGTCTTTTTTTTTTCATAACCAAAGCAGAATTTTCACTTCTTCCTAAGAACTAGGAAAAAAAACCCACTTATTTCACTGTCATCTATGCTTGTTGGAGAAGGATATACTGTATATATCTTTTTAAATTAATTAAGCTTTGATCCCTTTCTTTCTAGTTCATTTCTATTGCTCCCTCACTAGATCAGAGATTGATCGCTTGTGGACTACATGCAGAATCCAAGATTCAGTTTTTTTGCAGGGCCAAGGAGCCCCAGGATCATGCCACTGAAAGTCAGAGATAAAATTTGAAAAATGATGATGAGAAAGAGCAAAAAAAAAGGTGTGATAAATGTTTGACCCATCTGTAAAAATAAAAGTTCCTCTGCAGAAAAGAAACAGAAAACCCCAGCTTCTTCCTATCTAGCGATCCTTGATACCTTGATTTGCCAATATCCATGAACAGAATAGAATTGTACAATGCTTTCAGACTTGGAAGATTCTATCGATGTAGCTTTACAACCAAGTAGAATTAACTCATCTAGTTGTGATTCTGACTGGGTTTATCCCAGTGGCTGACCACACTGATATCTACATTGTCATAACCTTGCAAGGGTGAAAATATAATACTGCTCCCCCATCTTCCTTTCTACTTGAGAAACTAGGGAGGGTCTCTTCCTAGCCTCACCCACTATTCAATTGCAGGTTATACAGTCTTTTATCTGCCTGTTCCCTTGGAGTTTTGGCACAATCAAAGTGTTTCCCAGTATCACAGTTATCTATGTAACATTACTATCGTCTGGTTTCTATTTCTTTTTCTAATTGCAGTACATTGTTGATTCATAATATGGAATAATTTGTATAATGGTTGAGATCAGTGGTAGGATTCAAAAAAAATTACTACTGGTTCTGTGGGCGTGGCTTGGTGGGCATGGCATGGTTTGGTGGGTGTGGCTTGGTGGGTTTGGCAGAGGAAGGATACTGTAAAATCTCCATTCCCTCCCCACTCCAGGGGAAGGTTACTGCAAAATCCCCATTTCTTCCCAATCGGCTGAGACTCGGGAGGCAGAGAATAGATGGGAGCATGGCCAGTCAGAGGTGGTATTTACCAATTCTCCGAACTACTCAAAATTTCTGCTACTAGTTCTCCAGAACTGGTCAGAACCTGCTGAATACCATCTCTGGTTGAAATATATTTGGTAATGACTCCATAAATTGGAATGAAGACGCTATTAGAAATACTGTTAGAAATAAGTGCTGTTTTTGTGTGTGGAGTACTGATTGGGCAAAAAGGAATCAATAATCTAAGAAAGAATGTACAGACAATGGGCTGTTCCCCTCAGTCACCTATATTTGTGTATCTCTGTAGAAACATCAAGTTTGTCATTCAAGGCAAAGAAATAAAAAAAATGTTAGGTTAGCCAAAGGTTGAAAGCCTAACGATTAAGGATCCAATTGGGGATTTTCTCATCAGTTTTCTGCTTTTTAGTGTTTAGACAATACAAAAAAACTCCACTACAAATATCTTAAAGAATCACTTGTGTCTCTCATGCTACAGTTTTATATCTCATGGAAAATTGTTATGATACAGAGCACTGAATACAAATGTGTTCATCTTCTATAGTCTCTGATAACCTGTGAATGAACCTCGGGAATCACTGCCCTTGATTCTTTATCAAGCAAATGATTATTCTGCAGAGTTTCTTATGCAATACAAGGCAGCTTTGGAAAAAATGCGTCCACCACAAAAGGATGGTTTTGTAGGAACAAAATATTGACATGCATCATACAAAAACTCCAGCATTGGTACAGGTTTTTCTTCTTAGAAATAATCACAGAAACTTCATGTATATCTACCCTCTTTTTTGTATCTTTAAGATCCACTAATAAATCATCAAGTAATGAAAGGATTAATTAAATTTGCTTTTACCGCAGGTGGGATATGAAGGCTCTCTGTTTGCCACACTTCATTAACATAAGCTCTTAAGCAAAAGTGTTTTAAGCTTTGAGCATCTGCTTTAGCCATGTACTTTAAGCATACACAGGGGAAATTTGCTGACAGTACCAGATAGCCTCAAGGGGCAGTATTCTGTTTTCTGACCTCAGATATACCCAGAAATCTGACACTTGTGTTCTTGATCTCAGTGGAAGCTTGGCGAAAGACATTAGTGATTCAGCTCTAGCATAAAGTTTCTAACAGCATTCTGGGGGTGTGACAGGGTTGTTATTTATTCCACGGAATGCTTTGCTGTTAATTATACTGCAGATAATGTAATTGAATGCTTTAGCTGTTCATGGGGCTTCTGTAGTTTCTATGTCAAAGCAGTAAAGATCAATTGTTCTTTATATGTTCACCTTGTTTTTTCCTGCTACCAACACAGCAAGGGACAGTCCCTTTCTCTCCCAGTTTTCCAGCTTCCATCTTGCCAGCATTCCTGGCTCACTAGACATGATCGGTTGTAATTTTTAGATTTGTACCATTAAAATATATAACAAAATAAGTAGGAAAGCCTAATGCCATAATTGTTGTGATCTGCCAGCAACCAGAGGAGCTGGCAGCAGAGTCGGACAGTGAGAAGGTTGGGGAGGAGAATGGGCCAGTCCTGGAGGCTGGGGAAAGCTCGGACAAGGGCTCTGCGTCGGTGGCAGAGACAGGGCCAAGGTCATCTGGCAGTGAGCAGGTGCCTACGGAGCTAGACAGCAATGAGGCAGAGGGACAGCTAGTGCCTGTTCCCACTGTGTGCATGCGCAGAGATGCTAGAAGAAAAGAACAACTCAGAAATCAGGGTAGACTTGGGAGTAAAGTCACAGGTGGAAGGCGTTTGGTCCCTCCCATAGGGAATAAAAGAGGAACAAAAGGGGAGTGGGCTTTTTCAGGAAACAATTCATTCATTCAGTTGTTAGATTCGTTTCAGGAGTGTGAAGATCTGTCCATGAATCTCAGAGA